AAAAAAAAAAGACAAAATAGCATGAACGGTAGCTCCCTTAAAAAGGTGCGGCCTGCAGCCTCCAATTCAGATATTTTGTCCTGATTTTTTTGTTGCTGTTGCTCTGACTTTAGAGCTGGTGGGTGCCGAACTAATAAAACCTGGTTCCGTCTATTTCCTTTTTTAAAACTTGCACACTCACTGCTTGGGGTGCCCTCACTGCAGCCACGGAGAAGGAGTAGGAGAGCCTTAGAATTTTCGAGGGGAAAAGAAAGCCGGTAACATACAACACACTGTATCAAACTAGTTTACACGTATGACACAAGTATTCTGAATTTTACAGAATTCGAACGTGGTTAGGAACAAGGTGTCATGTGATAAGTTTATTTTTCATGAACAAAAAGCACATATCTATGTATCTGTATTGATTGATTGATTTCAGAGAGGAAGAGAGAGAGGGAGAAACATCCATGGTGAGAGGGAATCACAGACCAGCTGCCTCCTGCACGCCCCGCTACTGGGGACCGAGCTCGCAACCCAGGCACGTGCCCTTGACCGGGAATCAAACCTGGGACCCTTCGGGCCGCAGGCCAATGCTCTATCCACTGAGCCAGATCGGCCAGGTCTGAATCCATCTTAGGGCGACCCCCGTGCCCCCCGAGCGCGTCCGGCAGTCCTGGGTTACTCACACCTTTTTAATGCCGTACTCGAAGGCCTGCTTGGCCAGCCGGCCCGGGCCGTCCACCGTCTTCCCGTCGTCGTCGGGCCCCCAGCTCGCGCTGTAAATGTCGATGTAGTTGGGCCGGACGCCCAGCGACTTGGCCTCCACCACGTCGGTCACGTCCCCGTCCAGCATGCGGATGCCTGGAAGCACAGAGGGCTGGGTGCGCGCGCGTCCCCCCAGACACCGGGCCCGGGAGCAGGGAGGCGGCTGGGGGAGCCCCAAACAGCTGGGGAGCTTGTCCGGCATCATTTTGGTTTTCTTCGCTTTTTAAAAATATATATTTTTACTGATTTCAGAGAGGAAGGGAGAGGGAGAGAGAGACAGAAACATCCATGATGAGAGAGAATCATGGATCGGCGGCCTTCTGCACGCCCCACACTGGGGATGGAGCCTGCAACCCGGGCCTGTGCTCAAGATCAAGCCCACAAACTGGGCCTGTGCCCCGACCGGGAATCGAACCCTGACCTCCTGCTTCCCAGGCCCACACTCAACCGCCGAGCCACGTCGGCCGGGCAGGAATGTCTATTTTTTAAAAAATATATATTTTTGTTGGTTTCAGAGAGGAAGGGAGAGGGAGAGAGAGATAAACATCAATGATGAGAATCACTGATTGGCTGCCTCCTGCACGCCCCCCACTGAGGGGGATCGAACCTGGGACCCTTTGGTCTGCAGGCCGACGCTCTATCCACTGAGCCAAACCGGCCGGGGCGGGAATGCCAGTTTTTGAACAGGGGGAACGAGATGCCAGAAGACAGTCCAGAGCACCAGACCGGACCGATTTCCCGACACCCCTC